AGCCACAGCTTCCTCCGCTGGGATGACTCTAGCCTGACACTACTGTGCCTTAGAGAGCTCCTCCAAAGATTAGCTAAAGTCACCTCCTTATTCATCTGTATAGAATAAATCAGCCTTCTCAATTCTGAAGAGATTGGATGTATATAAAAAATACTTTGAGATTCTGGGTTTTAAAAAATACAAAAGTATAGATTCTTAGCTCATTTTAATTGTCTGGGATATATTTTTTTTAATGTTGGGGTTCATCATATGGCCCTTTGCATCACAGAAATAGTTCTACCACAAAGTTATTTTATTAGCAATTTTAAAATCATATTTAAGTCAGTGAGCATCTGAGTGAAGTACCCCTATAATCCTTTAGTTTACTCTTAAATTCATAGTGTGATTGTGTTTTCCTATCTCACTCTCTTTAGTGACTGGGATACTAGGCAATTATAATGCTTTTCTGGATGAATTTTTATTAATTAGCCAATGAAATTACTAAGAAGGAATCTGGGAAAATATTCAGTTATATTGGAGATACTCATGAAATCCATCATGTTCTTCATTCTGAGTGCATACTCATCTCAAAACTCATAAACTTGCACATATTAAACAGTACAGCATCTTGAATGTCAGTCTATAAAGATAGTTAATCAAAAAATTAATTTCAAAAAATTAAACTGCTCAGACTTCAAGAGGAAATGATGGTTTCATACTCCCCAAACTGGTTTCTTCCAGTTTCCCAAATTCTCTCTGAGTTACTCCAGTGAAGTATTGGTTCATATTTTGCAAACTTTGACCTCATAAGTTAGAAGTAGTTCAATTATGTCAGAAAAAAAAGAAGTGAGGGAGAAAAATAGTCTTTACATCTAGGCATACTATTCATGGTAATAAAGAAATTTAATAAAAATACTTCTTCCTTTTTCTCTTTTTCTCTCTCATATGTGTGTGTTTATCTTTTAACAAAGACTCTAGAAGAGATAGTGAATGTTATATTAGTTGCAAAGCTCTATAAGAAAGATCATAACCAGGTATGATTTGAAGGATGAACCGGGGGTCAAAGTAATTTCGTTTTTAAAAAGACACAAAGGATATCAAGCAAATTACATTATAATTATGCAGAGATAGTGTCTTTCTTTTATGTATAATATAGATGCAAATATAAATGAAAAGACTTTTTAAATGTATTTCTTTTTCATTTCACTTCTCTTCCTAATGACATGACTAGCTTCTATTTCCTTGCCTTAAGGAGTATGTGGATGTCTGGGATTAGTTCCCAGAAATGTTAATATTACTTTATTTTCATTTTCTCAAAGCTACTAAAACACAGCTGGGAAATTAAATGCAAATGCAAACATTTTCCTTAGTAAAATTCTTTCTTCTTTATCAAAGCCCTCTTACATCTATTTGTTTTAATGATGATTTCTATTCAACATTTGTCATTAACTTTAATGAATTCACAACATGGATTTGATTCAAAGTGAAGAGTTGGGCCATCTAAATCTTTTCAGACTGCTGATTCAAAGCTGTCTCAATTATAGAAATCTGGGTACCTCCTACTCTACAGATGAATTGCCTTTGATGCTCAACTCACATTCCTTGTATCTCCTTTCTCTTCTCTATTTTAGGTGATGTTCTCTGACTGTATGTCTCTAACACCTAATATTCTGATGTATGTAAATTGCAATGATACATATTCTTATAATGATACTACTGATCCATCTATATGCAGAAATAACCCGGTGGCACTTAAAAAGCTATTTCCTCCATCTAGAGTTCTAGACAATTTCCATTTTAATCATTCCCATAGCTTTTATTCCCTTAAATAGATTGAATTACATTCTTAACCAAACTATTTTTGAAATGGCATATTTCACAAGGCATGATTGATTACCTATTATTACCAGATATGCTAAATGTCACAGGATAGACACCATGGATATGTTAATCCTTCTGGGCGACTACTCAACCATGAACATTTCTGGACCTTTACCAGTAAAATATATCTTTATTAAGTATAGTAAGAAATGCCTGGAGCTTTTTTATAATGTTGTCCATACATTTTCAAGAACCAACATCATTTCTTCAAAGAAAGTATATAAATTTTAAGTACAGAAATCAGTGATATATAATCACCTAAATGCCAAGCCAGACAGCACATTCATACCTAGTGTGCGTATTTTAAATGTATTTTTGTTTGTTAAATTTTCATATAAATAAAATGTCTCTATATAAAGCTATTTAGCCAAACTCCAGTTTGTATATACATATTTAATTAAATGCTTCCTCTTACTACTAAACTAACTGTGAAGGTAAAAATATTTAAGCCAAAGTTTGGAATGATCGATAATGTATTTGCCAAGTTCATATATTTCCCACTAACAGTAAAGCTTACTGAGCTTAACTAAGCAACCATCAGTGTCTGACATAGGCTTTCTCTAAAAGAAGCAGTTACTCACTCACAACTGTACTATAAGTCATCGAAGGGCAACATAAAAATCTTTAAGACTGCGTCCTTAGGATGGTCTGGATATTTTGATTTTATTTGCTACTCTGTGTCTTTAGATACTGTTTCATTAAATGCACTGAGTGGGGCTGCTTAGCCAAAAACTCATCTGGAAAGATGGGAGCAGTATTGAGATCTCCAGCACGTACATAAATGATGGTGGCTCTGGTGTCTCAACAGTAATTGGCACATGGAAGGCAGAGAGAGCTGCTCCGCCGAGCAAGCTACGTGAGCCCATGTAGACATCAGGCCTCCATATGAAAGCAAATACATGTGAGCCCACAAAAGTGAGAACACACCCATTTAATGGTGTTTTATCACATTTGAGTTTTATTGGCTAATGAGTTTGGATTGTAAAAATGTCACTTCTCAGAACAATACACTTCCACATCCACAACAAATTATATTCCAAGGCATGGGATGATCCTTCCAAGAAAAAAACAAGTAGCAATAAAGTAGATTCTTGTCTACTGACACATTCTGATGTCATTGCATAAAATCCTCATGAGCTGGCTTACAATAGCAAACTACTCACACTTATCTTCGTTTCCTATCTCACTGTTTCTCCACCAGCAAACACAAACATTTCCCTTTAACTCTTTTCTCAATGCTTTGTCAACTGAAGATCACTCAGTTATTTCCAGCTCGTGTGGAGTGTTACTTCACCCATTTTATTTAGTTCATGCTTTCTCCTAATGAAAAATAGTTAACCATTGCCACATTAGATAGATGATTAATGAAATTAGTGAATAAAACAAAACAAAGCTAAAACAGTCTATCTATCTATTCAATAGAACTTCTCATGTAACATACTAGTGCTGGACTACTTTTCCTAAATACTCGCAAATCTTAGGCACCTGCCTTCTTGATTACGTCATTTTTCTGTTCTCTGACATTTGATCATCTCCTCAAGTTTAAAGCTACTTAACCTAAGCAGTTCCATTGCTACATTATTTGTAAAGACCTTATCCATCAAAGCACAAATGACAATCTCCAATCATTCTTTTAAATTGCTTTTAAATCCTTCTGCCTTGTATGCTGTTATAAAATGAAAGATGCTGGAGTTTTATATTAAATTATTTGTACATATTTTTACTTAATGAAAGATCATTTTTATCTTTCCTTCTGCCTCCTTAAGGTCCAAAAGAATGCCTAATATAGCGTGAAGATAGGTGTAAAATGTCAACCAAGTTTACATCGTCTTGACAGTATACTCAGAAATTCTCCTTAACCTCTATGTGTTTCAGCTTCTTTAACTAAACTTACAATGATTCATTTATGTCATTTCCTTGTTTTGCAAGGTACATTAGCTTTTTAAAGCCCTCTTCAGGGACAAACAACTTACTGAGTTGTTTGGTAAATTCCCCCTTCCCATATAAAAAATATGCAATTTGATTAAATCTTAAGAACATATTATACCTTATCTTCAAATATATAACCTCCAGCTATTTTTTTAACATACAAGTATGGCTAGTGTCTCTGTGAGTATTCCATTGTGTGAATGCCGCTGCAAAGGCCAGAAGAAACTAGTGGATTCCATGGAGCCATCTCACAGAGATGGGGGCAGTTGAACCCAGGTTTTTTGTAAAAGCATCAGGTGGTTTTAACTTCTGAGCCCTCTCTCTAGCCAAAAGAAATATTATTTCAAGTAGCCTCTCCCAAAGCAGTCACTTATTAGATGAAAGGAGTTTAGTTCAAAACAAATATTTTTACATTAAGTGGATATGATTTTTTTTAGCAGAGTCAATCTTTCTGTCCACTGTCCCTCTCTCTATGTCATGTTTTGTTTTCACTTGCTCAGTTCAATGAATCGTATGCTTCTTCAGGACTCTGCAAGCACCTGCTTGTTTGATTTTTCTATTGAGCACAGTTCTTTCATTATTTTTGTTGTGGCTTCCTAGTCCCTTCAGTTTAAGTTACTTTTAAAGAATAGTCTGATATGAAATTTATGTTGACTAAGTCATTTTAATTTTTTAATAGAGAGCAGTTGATCTTTCTCAGGTACGTTTAAGCAACTCAAACCAATATAAATTATTCTGGAGTCACCTAGCAAGAATAGTGTTTTTTATTCCAGTGAAAGGAAGAAACATTCTAAAGTTCAATAGCTCCTGGAATTTACAGTAACCTCGTCTGCTAATTCATTTTGCTTTCGCAATGAAGTTGTAAATGTCACTGCATAAGTAATTAAATTGGTTTTGATGCCTGGTGACTACAGGTCAGTATTGCTCCTCCTCCAGAGCAACCACAAAGGGAGCTTTAGAAACTGGCCCTCACACCAAAGTCAGTGTGGAACAGGATGCCTGGGAAGAGAGCATGGCCACAGAGCTGTTTCAGAACTGTAAACCCCCCTAGTTTTGCATATGTTCTCAAGGAGCCAGAACCTTAAATTCCCTTCGCTATAACACTTCTCCTAAGAAACAGCTTGTACTTTGGGATCAAGCTTACAGACCATATTGCACAAAGCAACATGAGAAAAAGAGCAAAATGAAATCAAGATTGATGCTGTACTCACGAAATGCTCTATAGAACTCCTCAAGAGCCAGGTGCTTGTCAGCATTGAAGTCCTCGTATTGGAGCAGATCGTACAGAGTACAGTCAGAACGGTCCCTGTTCAGCTCCTCCTGTTTAATCACCTGGCAATCAAAACAGCAAACCTTTATATTCGTCTCAATATTTCTATGTAATATATTTATAGGTAACAATTCCAAAATAGATTACTTTAAAACTGAAGAACAGTAAAAAGTAAATCAACGACAGACAGATTTTTTTTTTGTAATTGAACAACTATTTTTAACTGCTATAATGACGAAATTAAAATACAGGCTTAGAATTTGTTTAAACTTCACAGTATAACTTAATGAATCTGCGCATTTCTTACTTGGCTTGTATTATTTGCTATATTTACACCAACTCAGGGAGACACCTGCACAGGAAAACCTTGTTCTGTTCCTCATTGACCCATGTGAGAAGAAAAGATGGTTCCATCCTGTCATAAAAAGTGCGACATGCTGTGACTACTTCCTTCTTCATATTATTTGCAAAAAATGAAGTTAGATTTTATTTCCCCCTTATGCTGAAACTCTGCCGTAGCTGGGGGGATGAGTCATTTGAGATTGGGCCAGACTCCCTGCTCACAAAAGGACTATTAAGCAAATGAGTGTTTCCAGGAGCCAGACAAAATGAATGCACCAATGGCAAACAAGTCTACTCAAGCATGAGGAGGCAAAGCATCATTGTCATCCGCACTCTGTCTACTCCCATAGACTGAGTTTCAACATTTTTATACTCTGATGATTTTGGCTATTGCTTGTCAGAGAGCGGAGCTGACACAATTTAGCAGACATTCCTATCCATGGTGTGGAGAGGCATGGCCGTGGTCACAATTCCCCAGGCCTTAATAGTCTACCACATCCAGAGGCAGCAATTCCTACTGCTTGGAGATCAGCCTCAGAATGGTTTGTTGTTTGAAAAGTGATGCAGGGCATTCAGAAAATATAAACTCTTTACTCACCAGTAGTGTACTTGGGTCCTGCCAAAGCCACTTAACAGCTGTCTAATTTATTTAAAGTTAATTCTCATTACTCAATTTAAAAATAAAAACAAATATTACACCATCATTCATTGCACTAGAAATAGTCAAGCACAATCCAGCCATGTAGAATTCACTAAAAATAGTCCTTGAACATTAAAAAGTAATTTCTCTTTATGTAATACATATCATTAATAGTCTCCTGCAGAATTTCAGGTAACAGCTTTTATGTGCTTTGTCTATGCATGTATTTTTTTTGTCTTTTTTCTTGTAAAACACAGCATCACTCATATTTTGTCATAGAGGCAGATGTTGGTCCCATTCTCAGTATCCTCTAGAGCTTTTAATCTATAGTTTAACCCTTTGCAGTATTGGAGGTGTGGTGACCCCGATTAAATGGAGTGTGAATGACAAATGGGCTCTCTCTGAAGATGGAATCAACATACACCAACAAAGCAGTGTGAGGTAATGATGGTATACTAACTGCTAAACAGGACCTCAGTAATATATTTATTTATTTTCATTAAAACTTTATTTTAAATCATACAAATAAAAAGCACCATATGGAAAAATGAACCACAACCACATTTGGTGCATCTCAAGGAACCATCTGTATGTTTGACTAGCCATTCTATCTGCAAGCCTTCACTTGAACTTTACACTTTTAACTAAAATATGTTCTTGTCAATAGTATTAAATCTTTACTGTTTAAGTCTGGGAAGGACAGAGAGTTCTCTGGCATAACTGTTTCTATAAAGGACTGCTATAGAATGTGAGTATTAAACCATATGCTCTATGCAGTCTAGCTCTGGGGATTAACAATACTGCCTAATGACTGAAGCCATCACTGCTATAAGCCTTTTGGGAAAATAAGACTTTTCCATTTAGAAGCGACAGATCCCTCTGTCATTGTCCATCTGCTATTGATTAGACCACTTAGAGTGGTTTGCTAAGGGCTAGGATTCGGCAGTGAATGGATAGCGCCTCACTGTAGTTTTTCCTGAAGATTCACATTGTTGGTGTTATGACAAAACTTAGGACACGGTAACACCAAAGCTATCAGACATTCCAATGTTAGGTACTCCTAAGTCACACATAAATTTGAAAACGGACAGATGAAACAAGTACATTAGGGTTTTTTTTTGTCATTTTTGTCTCATATTTTTTCTAATCTGCTGCAAAAACAGAGTTCATTTTTACCCAGGAAATGAGTTTCCAACTTTTTGGTACTTGATGGTCTTTTTTTTTTTTTTTGATTTTTCTAAAGTGAATTATAATTATGCCGTTCAAAATAATGCATATATATATAATTGTTTATAACTTCTATCTCCACAAAATGTCTACAGAGTTTTGTAAAGCACTACTCAGAGATTATTCAGTACTTTGATGCTTTGATATTGTATTATTTATGGTCTAAAATTTTTTAAACTTTTATTACAATAAGCTATTCTTCATAATCTTCCTTCTTTAGTCAATTTCTTAGTGGTTAGTTTCTAACTCCTCTCTTATGAAGTCACTCTTCCAGAGTTTGAAATACAATTTATGGTAAAAAAAAAAAAGGTCCTTAACTGAGAACAGAGCAAGATTCTTGGAAAAATCACTAAGAGATATTTATTTGGAGAAATAACAGTTTAACAGTTGGATTAATTAATTAATTAATTTTTAAATTTATTTAATTACATAATTAATTTTCAAGAAAACATTCACAAGAACTATGAAAATCAGATACTTTATAGAATTGGGAAAATGCTGGAACATGTTAGCAGAGTCATAAGCAAAGACTTTTGAAGTCGAGAAGGAAAGGCTTTCCCACTTAAGCATTTCTAAGCTCCAAATGGTATAGCATGGGAAAGGTGACTTCTTTGTTGGGAAGAGATTGTGAAGTCTTTTACTTGGAAACTTAGAGACAGGCCCACTGTGGAAACCCTGTGCTCGACAAAGACGCTCTAGCTCTGGCCTTGTGCTGACAGATTGGATGTAGCTTTGGACTCAACACTGACAGTCAGCAAGGGACTGAAACTTTTAAGTATGGAACTCAAAGAAAAATTTCCTTGTGGTGGATGGTGAGATGGATAATGAACAACAGAAGGTTCTGTAAAAGAATGCTGGACTCTCATACTGAAACTCAACACCAGGCAAATCCCAAAAGATCCTCTTTTTAGGACTGAACAAACAGATGAAGCTTCTAAGTATGCATTGTGTGAAAAGGGATATACGAAGAGCAGAGTAGATTCCGCATACTATAATGACAATTGAGGTGTAGACCTGAGATTCACCAAAGGAGACAGTGCAGATGCCTGTAGTTAAAGTCCTCAGGTGCTATCCTGCATAGTGTTCTCCTTAATGATCAAGACATGACCTCCACTATCTCTTCTCTGACTTCAGCTAGTACAGATTGATGAATGACTCTGTCTGTCTTATAATAGATGAGTAAGTTCTGAATTTCTGTGCATCTCAAGACTAGACTTGCAATACTAGCATTCAGCAACTGTAAAACACAATGACCCTTGACCTCAGGCCAGTGCCTATGGGGATTCTTCTTGGTGAGAAGCTCAGGCTTCCAGCACTAGAAAGACAGATTTGGAATCTAGTCTACCCTATATCAGGTAGGAATCTCAGACCATGGTTTTTGGTTCTTCTCCTTTATTGTGCACTTATATGGCAGTTGAGCATCTCACGGTTATCACATGGATGGAGTGGTAACCCACCAACCTCAGAAAGCACATATTAGTTTCAGTGTCTGATCAGGAGAAGAAAAATGGACAGGTACTCATCCTGCGGCAAAACTGGGGTATAGAAAAAAAGCAAAGGTCTTAAAGGTTTAAAAATATCTAACACTTCAATGTTTAACTGGGAGAGTGCCTTTTTGTCATGCGTGTGGCTTTAAGGTCAGTCCTCAGTAAAGCAGACATATGCATACAGTGTACACTCGCACACAGTAGCAGAGACAGACAGACACACACACACAGATCAGAAATGAGGGAGACAATGCAGCACAGGTATTCCCAAACAATCAGAAACTAAACAAATATCACACCAAGATTTATATAATATGCTAGTAAAAATTTTTCAAAATGAAAGAGACAAGCGTGAGGACATGATAATAAAACTGATATGTTTAGGAGAAAGGCAACAAAACAAGTAAATATGCTACCAAAACTTAAAGTTTGAAGAAAATATCAAGTACACCTGTAGTTAGCAATTATGTTTTTTCCCCTTTTGTTCTTGCACTTTTAAGACAATTTTAAAGCATCTGCCTTTAATCAAAGGATGGGTTCTGTGGGACTTGTGGAAATAACAAAGCAAAATCTAATAGTGCACTCTTCAGTTTGCTTTCCATTGCTGTGATAAAACACTGACCAAAGCTAAATTGGGGGTTTATTTGACCTGCTCCTCCATGTGATAGTCTATCATTAAGAGAAGTCAATAGAGAAACTCAAGGAAGAATCTGGAGGCTGCAACGGAAGCAGAAACCTTGGAGAAAGGCTGCTGACTGGCCTGCTTTCTCTGGCTTGCTCAGCTACTTTTCTTATATAGCACCCAATGCACAGAGATCTGGGCCCTTTCACATTAATCGTTAAGAAAATGTTCCACAGACTTGCATATAGGCCCATCTGATGGAGACAGTTCCTGAACTGGAGATCCCTCTTCTCAAATTCTATGGTTTGTGTCTAGTTGATGAAAACAATCAGCACATTGACAAAATAAAAGTTATAAGACACAAGTCAAAACATAACAATGAAGAAAAACTAACCATAAAAAATGAGAGAGAAATGGAGAGGAACTTAACACCTGAAAAATAAAGAACAAAATGGCAGTGATAAAATATTGCTGATCATAATAAAGTAAAAATAGAACAAATTTTCTAATTAAAAACCTGAGTGATTGAATGCTTAAAAAATGAACAACAGGCAAACCAAACTAAAACAATAACAAAAATCCACATTATTTACAAGAAACTATATCATCTCTTAGAACACACATATATGGAAAGACCGAGTGAAAAATATATTCTATTTAAACGGATTTTTTAAACAAGCAGTATTAATCATACCTTTGTCTACTGAAAGAAACTACTCAAAATCAGTAAAAAGAAAAACAAAGTTAATTTCCAAAGAGAAGGAAGTTGGTTCAGATAAATCAAACTTTCAATATAAAGACACTGAATATCAGAGAACTCAAGTATATAGAGGCAACATTAACATAGATGAGGAGAGTCAAAGCCCACATCACAGGAATAGCAGAGATTCCAACATCCTACATTCGGTGGTGGGTAGAACAGCTAGACAGAAAACCAGCTAGGATTCCGGAATTAAAGTATACCTAAACCAAATCGACCTGGCATTCATATGCAGTACATTGCATCCAGTAGCTACAGAGTCCAGTGCATGGAAGCGTTCTCTAGGTAATCTCATAGCTGTCCACAAAACAGCACTAATAACAGTTTTAAAAAACTTAAAATTTGGAGGAATTTATTTAGAAACCATAATACAGCAAAAGAAGAAATCAATAACAAGAACATCTTTGGATTCAGATCGACATTATTGAAAAATCCACACAATTAAATCAAAAGTTAAATAAGTTTGAAAGTTTATTGAGACAAACAGTAATGGAAAATAAACTACCCAAAGCTCAAGGATATGACAACATTAGTACTGAAAGAGAGATCTATAGCTGTCACTTACATGAAAAAAAGAGCAAAGGTCTCAAATAATTAGTCTATTATTGTACGTTAAGGAGCTAAGAAAACAAAAGCAAAACTTGAAAATTAGCAGCAAGAAGGCAAGACAGATGATCAGAAGAGTAATAAAATACAGAGAACCAAGCCATACAAAAATCAATGAAGTGAGAGTTGTTCTTTGTATATCATTCTTTAAATAAAATATACAAATCCAAGCTTAACTAATAAGAACAAAAGAAAGAAGACAATAGTAATGAAACCAGAGAGACTATAATTTTCACAAAAATTCACTGCATATCAAGAGTCTATTAAGAAATACACACCCCAAGTTTGACAAGAAGAAATGAGCAAATTCTTGAACAAGCACACATACACATAATATGCCTAATTGAATCATATAAGTCATGAAGAAATAAAAACATCCCATTAACAGTGAGAAGATCATAATAATTATATCTTCCACCAAAGGAAAACCCATGGTTGATAATGCCACTAGTGAATTTTGCTAAATATTTAAGAATAATACAAGATCCATCACAAAACTTTGAAGAGGATCTTGATCTTCTATAACACATTCTAATAGTTCTGCACTCTGCTAATCACACAAAACAGAAATCAGATGAAAAGAAGAGGCAAAGAGACACTGAAGGGAGGGAGAGGATGGGATGAGGGATGGTAATAGTAGTAGATAGAATCGTTGAAGGCTGGAAGCTACAGATCAATATCTCTACTGAACATAGATAGAAAGACTTCAATAACATTCTAGGAAGCTCAGGCCAATAACACATTAAGATCACTCCCAGGGTTTACTGAACCACATCTGAAGAATTAGAAGAGCATTTATATGTGTTAATTCATAGATATATTTTACCCCATGAATAAAATGAAGAATGAATGCTATGGGATTATCTCATTAGAGAGAAAGGGCTTAATAAAATTAAGAATCTTTTCATGTTAAACACTCAGAACAAACTTTATATGTCAGTAACATCAACCAACACATTTCAATACACCCACTGTGTAAATCTAATATTCAATAAGGGGAATGGTAAGTTTTTTGCTGTGGTAAATTGATTGTGACAAAAGTACCATTTTCTTCACTAAAGTAATACTGAAAATTCTAAATGCGAGAATCAAGTCTACAGGACAAGGATATCCCAAGGAAGGGTCAGATATTCACTATTAGATGCAAGATTATCTTACAGAGTTCTAAAACAAAAGTTTCTTTGGAAAAATAAGTCCATCATCATTTCTGGAAACAAAATCAACATCCAAAAATCAGAAAACAAACGTGTATCCTGATTTAAATATTATACTATAAAAATGTGATTGTGTCTCTATGAGTAGGTACGGATGCTCCCTGTCAAATCAAATTTTAAAATTCCATTTAACCTTTTCTTTTGCTTATGAAAGTTTGCTTTCTAATAAAGGTAAAGCAAACACAAACTCATATACAAATTCTTGCACACTTTCTTATGCACACACCCTTACACATTTATGCAAAGGTAATATTCTTTCCTGAGCATTAATGCAACGTTAAAGCAAATGAAGATACCTCTAATACACACCTTATACATTGGCAGAAAGTGAAAATTACATACAGTCCAGAATAGATCAGGAGAAATCTTTTAAGTTGCATAACATAACTTATAGTTCGTTTTAGGTACAGAATATATCATATTTCTTTTAAACTATAAAACACAAAGTACTTTGATAAATGCTGCTGATAAATTAGTTAAGCCTCTTTTTATTTTCCCCTGTGGTTATGATAATAGAAGCCCAGCTTGCACATACTTAGTGGTATTCCAAGTCCTTGGCTTTCTGAGTCAAGATCAAATTTTGTATCCCAGGCTGAATTCAATACCTCCATCCCCCTGCCTATACCTCCATAATCAGTTAGGTAGTCAAGTAGTAATATCATTTCATTTCCATTCTTTTGGTATTATGAATAAAATATATTATTCTATAGAGTAAATTCTAACAAAATAAAACTATCTGTTATACTTAAGCAATATATTTTATATATTTGTTGGGGTCATACCTGAGTTAGTTCATTAATATCTACAAGTCCATTACTGTCTGCATCAAAATGCTTGAACATTTGATCCACCAACAGCTTCTTCCTAGATATGTCATCACCGTTAGAATTCTCATTTTCTTGTGTAATGTACTTTTGATTTTGTAAATCTAAAAGCATACTTTTCATCTTGCTGTACTCAGTGGCCAAGCAGTTGTCTCCTGTAACAAGAAATTTGAGTTATTTTTGAATCAATCTTATTGAGAAGAAATTATTTTATTAATATTTAAAAAGTAATGTTATACAATTGATGTATGCAATATATATATATATATATTAAATTTTCAATTTTGCATACTTTAAAACTTGGAAAAAGTAAATGAACTTTCCCCAGGGTGATGGAAAACTTTACGCCAAGGTGACAAAATTTACTGTTGTTTTGTTTTTTCTATGAGAAAGACATTAGTATTTTCAGAACCCCAGAAAGACATGCTACCAACTGGCTTTAGAATTTAAATTAATTGTCTCCGTTTTTATCCTTGTACTACAACTCTCCGTTGATCAACACAAAAAAAAATGCACAAAATAATGATCAAGGGCTGTAGAAATGGTCCTGTAGGTAAGAGCTCTTTCTGTTCTTGTAGAGGATTAAAGTTTAGTTTCTACCACCTACACCAGTTGGCTCACAGCAACTGTTACCCTAGCTCCAGAGGGTACACACTGTACTGTCCTCCACAGATAGTCTCACTCAGTTGCACATATGTACACACACAGACATGCCTACAGGTAAACATAAAACAAATCTGCTTCTTAAAAAAGAAAATGAGGTTCACATGAGAAGGCAAAAGATTAGCATCTGCCTGATTTTGCACTTAAACTCATTTGGGCCACAATAATTGTACCACAATAGGTGATATTAAATTAAATATATTTAAAACATTTTGATCTGTCTTAAGAAACTATCCTGCATTTCAGCCTGTCTGTCTATATTCAACAATTTCTCTCCCCATCTGAAAATATCCTCAAGAGCATAAAGCTCAAATTAGGATCTGCATATGTGACTTTTCTTACTGCCTTGGTAGGTATCCACTTTCTTCCTTTTAAAGTACAAGATTATCATATAATAATGTGTTTTCATTTTATACCGAGGAGTTTTTACTCTGCAAATCTCATCTCCAAGTTAAAATTAATTGCAATACAGATATTAACATATTTTCAGTATCTCCTGTGTATAAATCTTAATAAAAGGGGCATTATAATTAATTAAAATAATTGGATATGTAATGTTCCTCATAAACACAAAACAAAAATTAAAACTAATAAAAATGCCCTGGTATCTTTATATAATTATTTCACAAAGTATTTGGCTTCACATGTCCTTATGATGAAGCCTGTATAACTATAATATTGAAATAATTCAAACTGCTGACAGGAAGCATGACATAAAATGTACTCTAAAATGACAGTGATTAGTGCAATTATGAATGAAAAAAGCAGATTCTGTATAAGATGGAAACTTTACAACTTATTTTTAGTTAAAAACCTAGCTCTATAATTGAGTTGCTTTTGACAATTAGGCTTGACAGCGCTGACAATTTCAGAAGAAGATTCTTCAAGATATATAAATACATGTCTGAGACGACTAAGGTTGAAAAACAGGATTTTGAAGTTCCATTGTCTTTCTAGACAAGATGGGAAACAACCTATACTAGAGGGGAAAAAAGAGATCTTACTTTTCTAAAAGGCAGTAGAACGCATACTGTGCAGAGATCTTGGCGTTTAGTAATCCTGTCAAGAAGTCCCTTTTTACAATGAATAAGTACATGGGCTGTCATACAATGAGTCAACTCTGCATTATCTGTTCTCACTGAAGAAGAAGAAGAATACGAATGTTTCCATACTCGCAAAGAACGCACTGCCAAAGGAGTGGAGTGATCAAACCTAAATTTGATAGCTAGCAATTTTGGTGTCTGGAAGAACAGCGCAGCAGCAAGGCTTCAGGCATCTGTGTGGTGATACACATAGGTGTATCCTGAGAGGAAGGATGGCAAAGCAGAGCCAACCATTCCAATAGCTCTGGCTTGGATTTCTGTACAGACTGAAAGACAGGCTAACTTGCTCAAAACAAACCTGAATGTTTAAATGGCATTTCAGTTACTCTAGGGCAATGTGGAATAATTTTCTGGAGCTGATATGAAGAAATTTCAGTACACGATTTGTAAACTCTCTGCAGGCCAGAGGATGAATAGTGGGTATTTGACTTTAGAGTACATGTAAGAGGACACTGCTTGTTCTTTTCCCAGCCTCCCAGACCCAGATAATCACACAGAAACTATATTAATTACAACACTGCTTGGTCAATTAGCTCAGACTTCCTATTAACTAACTCTTACATCTTAAATTAACACATTTTTGTTAGGTTATGTATCACCACGTGGCTGTGGCCTACCGGTAAGGTTCTGGCATCTGTCTCCTTTGGAACTACATGGCATCTCATTGATTCTGCCTACTCTCTCTACATATTTCTGTTTGGATTTCCTGCCTGGCCTTACTCTACTAAGCCATTGACCAAAACCGCTTTATTTATCAATTAACAAAAGCAACACATACACAGAAGGACATCCCACATCATCACAAAAGGGAAAACGATTGTCAGTAAGAGTGAACTGGAAGAGATAAACATGACATGTATTTTAGTGAATATTTACAGTTGAAGTATATACATTTGAAATATTTTTACACTTATTTTTCTCTAATTAAAATAATGTGGGGGCTAGAGAGATAACTCAAAGGTTAAGATCATGTGCTGTTCCTGCAGAGGAACCACATTCAATTACCAGCAATCACTTAAGAAGGCTCACAACCACCAAAAGCACCAGTTTCAGAGGATCAGACATCTATTTCCAACCTCTTCAGGAAAACACATTTATGATGTAGTGTGAAGACCATTACAGAAAACTACAGCAAATCAAAATGCTGGGGCCCTGTTTAAATAATTTGTGGATGAACACTCACATCTACTCTCTGCACTTCGATCAGTTGTGCCTGTGTTAAACATCTACTGTGCAAAGATATCTTTGATAAGGTGTAAAAGCTTCACTAATCTATCGATAGATGAATTCAGAAGGCAGCTTGACACTGAGTCTATTTAACAGAATAACAAATGTAAGTTTACTTCTGGGATTGATGAGCTCCCATGACTATGGGGTTTTGGTCAGATTTACATAACCAGACTTGTAATTCCTTTCATAAGTAATTATTAAGTCCAATCAGAAATCAGTTTGTCACTGTATAACATTCTGCCACTATTGTACCCATTGGCAGCATGGTAGAGATTTCTCTTTAAAAAAAGGTGCAATAATAACTAGTTTATTGAAAGAAGAGAGGACAATAGCCTTTTATCAGGTAAAATTAAATGTTGAAGACTATTTCTTGAAAAACAGTCACATAACCTGACAATTCCAAATTAGTCGAGAGAATATGGAAGAAAAAGACCCTGCCCTTTTCAAAAAACGAAAGTATTCCATAAAAGCCAGTCAACAATTTGGCATTACATCATCTGCAAAGAATGTGTGGTTTTGCCTGTACACAGGAAAAAATTACTGTTTTTATTTAAAATACTAATACATGTTCATGTGGAGGTATAATTCCTTGATATGGTGTTGATTTGTGTGAAGAAGAAGTCTGTGAACTGCGTTCATAAAAATACTTCACCATAACTCATACCACAGAAAATTGCTATTTCATTACCTTGGTTTATTCCTGTCGGTATTGTTATAACATTATGCGGCTAAATTTACAAAATATTCTCTTAAATACTTCCCTAAATTCTATTAAATTTTTAAACTCAGTTGTGATGTAAAATTTCTAATGTTTACCTCACAAATAAATAACATAAGAAGATGGCTTTGGTGCTTTCCATTTGCCTGTTTCCCTTCAGATGAAAATGAACTACAGGGCTATGAATTTAACGTCAGTAAACCTCAGAAGTTTATTGCAGACTACTTCCCGAAGATATTTTTGAAAGAATGTCTAGATTTCTGTTTTGTAAAGATTAAAAGAAGCAAAGTTTTCATTGTGATTTATACTCAATATTTCTTTTTTTTTCTTTTTTGTCTCTTACTTACATTTCATGTTCATCATGGAAGAAAATATTCTTTGAGGATTACATATAAATATTTCCTATTTTACTTATATATATATATATCTACATATTAATTTAAAATATGTAATATGTCATTGACATAAATTTTACTTGATTTTTCTAGGATTGCATGAAATAAACATGAGTACTACTTTTACAAGTTACGACCAATCTGTCATTTTGATTTGAATGCTTTTCAGGTATGATATCACATACAGTTTGGTTAATGTTAAAAATACTCAGATATTAGAGAATTGTCCTTTAAAATATTTATTGTTTATAACATGACCTTCTTGCTTGTCGTGGAGGTATTTTACTACCCCTTACATGGTACATAATTTACCAAAGGGCAGTTGTTCTTGCCTGTGGATGTTCAAGTGAATGTTGACCTCATCTCTCAACTCTTCAAAAATCCAGCTTTAAATGTATTTCTGTTTTCTTAATTTTTACTTTTATTTTTGTCTACCAATACTAAGAATAAATAAGGTAACTTAAGGACTTTTTAAATGCATTTTTTTTATTCTAGCATTACTTTCTAACATTATAAAACTTATTTTTGTTTTTAATCTTGCTAAATCTTAATTCAGTTTCTACATTACCAATACTTTAAATTTGGGGTGTTTTTAAATCTTTTAGCCATTAAAAGGTTCCATTCTTCCCCATGTATAAGTGATATTGTGTTTTTTTCATTAGCTTATTGATTATTCATTTTAATTTTAGCTGCTTCAGATGCTTTGGAACTCTTGGAACTTGACTTTACTTACTGGTTGATAAATCATTTTAGAAAAGATTTAATACTGTCTATTCAGCAGGATAAGGGCACAAAAACTTAATGAAAATGCATAGTAAGCATTATAGCTCACTCAATTTGGTTAAATATGCAACTATGTCATAAAAGCATTATGAATTGGATACTTCAGTGTCCTGAAAACCAATGTACTATGTTTACTTTGGTATTTAATTTCACTAAAATCATTTGTTTTGTTAATTTTATTTAACTCACTTAAACACTTTTCTGCACAAGAACTATTAGTTATTCTTTCACGAAAAATGACAAATTTTCTCAAAAATTTAAAA